CCCCAGGATCTCTACGTCCTCCTCCGTGTTGTTGATTTTAATTCCCTAGTTGTTCCCCTGTCTATCACGTTATTTATTGCTCCTTTCCCCCGCCTCCTCCGTCCCCAAATCTGTTGTTTTCTCTCAAGCTTGCTTCCCATGCATATCTTATATAGGTAGGCAAAACCAACAATAACAGAGACAAAACAAAAAGAAGACAAAAGATTAAATAAAAAGATAAAAAGAAAAAAGAAAATAATTACGAAAAAACAAACAAACAAAAAAGCATACATAAATCTAGGTCTGTCCATTGGCCTTTATGATTATATCCCCACTGCTCCTGGGGGAATTCCGGGAATTGCCCCTCCTAGCCTGAAGTCTATTTTAGGGGCGCCTGGGGGGTTTGTGGTTTTGCTTTGCTCCCTTTGCTGAGCTGTTATGTTCCCTTCATGGTTCGCCCTGCTGTGGGGGTTCAGACCAGACTAGCTCCCTGCTGTGTGTCCACAGTATTGCTCTCTGGCAAGGAACGCTCCAGTGAGGGGACAGCATGCTGGAGCTGTTGGTGGCCCTACAGTCCTCTCTGTGCCTTAGCAGCTCTGTGCAGGGACGTCGTCCTCAGGGCTTGGTGTGCATATGGAGTCTAGACCCTCACTCTCGCTTTTTCCTTCTTGGATTGCTTCCATGTGTGCATGGCATGCCGGCCCCTCTCCCCAACCTGTAGGTTTAGTGTTGTCCTCTAGCACATACTTCTAGGGAGGGGTCAGTGTGGCTCTGATTAGGGCCAGCCCTATAGCCCACTCTTTTCATGAGTTGCTCCATGTGGTTATGTTGCCCTCAAGGTTTGGTGAGCCATGGTGGGGTCTGCATGCACACTCCCAATTCTGTGGAGACATAACTAGTACTTTCCCCCTGGGTGGGTTAGTGCCCTGCTGCCCCACTACCATCATCTCCCCCGCCATATTTTTCTTCCCCCTTTTCTCTTCCACCTTCCCCCCTTTCCTCTTTTTGTTGGAATAACATGTACATCCTTGGGTTTGGTCTGTCCCCCACTTGACTGCTTGTACCTCAACCCATATAGTGGAAGGTAAGTGGCTTTTCTTCTATACCTACTGTGCTGATTATTTTTACCTTAGGGGACTCATATTGTACTTGTCCTTTTGTGATTGGCCAACTTCACTTAGCATAATTTCCTCCAATTCTTCCCATGAAATGATTTGCTTCATGTGATCATCAGTGCTTTTTAGTAATGCATAGTACTCCATTGTGTGTATGTGCCAGAGTTTTCTAATCTACTCGTCTACTGAAAGAAATTGAGATCGTTTCCAATACTTTGCAATTGTGAATTGCGTCACAATAAACATTGGACTGCAGAAGATTGTTCATGGTCTATTTCTTACCTCTTCTGGGTATATGTCCAATAGAAGGATAGCTGGGTCATAGGGTTGCTCTCTGGTTTTCTGATTTGGGCTATCCTTAGTGGTGTTAGGTGGTATCTCATGGTTGTTTTAATTTTCATTTCTCTGATGGCTAATGATCAGGAGCATTATCTTATATGTTTATTGGCTCTTTGAGTCTCCTCCTGAATGAACATTCTTTTCAGGTCTTTTGCCCACTTCCTCAGGGGGTTAATTGTTTTCCTCTTCTTGCTGGCTGGGAGGGTATTATAGATTTTACTAATTGCTAAATATCCTCTCCCCGTATGTGGCTTCTCTTGCTACTCTCTTGGTGAAGTCTTTTGACACACATATGTGTTTTATCATTAGTATATCCCACTTGTCTACTTCAGGTTCTCCTGTGTGTTCCCTTCCCTATTAGAGTTACCCTATGAATTCCCTGAGCCAAGGTTCTTAGGTTTGTCCCGATTCTTTCATTGATGGTCCTGATAATTTGGGGTTTTACTTCTAGGTCTGTGATCCACCTGGAGTTTGTTCTTGTGCATGGGGTGAGTTAAGCATCTTAGTTCCATTTTCTACAGTTGGATATCCATTGTTTCCAGCACCATTTGTTAAAGAGGGCATCCACCTCCCACTTGATGCTTTGGGGGACCTTGTCAAAGATCAGTTGTCTATATGCTGCTGGTTTTATTTCTGGGTTTTCTATTCTTTTCCATTGGTCTGAGTATCTGTTATTATTCCAGTACCATGATGTTTTGACCACTGTGGCTGTATAGTAGGTGTTAAAGTCAGGTAAAGTGAGCCCTCCAACTTTGTCCTTCTTCTTGAGGAGTTCTCTGCTAATTCTGGGCTTCTTCACTCTCCATATGAAATTGGTGGTCAATTTTTCCAATTCTTTGAAGAAGGTTGTTGGTATTTGAATTGGGATAGCGTTAAACTTATATAGTGCCTTGGTTAAGATTGACATCTTTACTATATTGAGTCTTCTGATCGACACGCATGGGGTATTCTTCGATTTGTGGAGCTCGCTTTTGGTTTCCTGTAGTAGGTTCCTATAGTTTTCCTTGTACAAGTCCTTTGGGTTTTTTGGTTAAAAACATCCCTAGATATTTCAATTAGTTCTTGGGTATTGTGAAGGGTATTGCCTTCTTGATCTTCTCTTCTGTGGTCTTGTCCAATGTGTACAGTAAACCAATAGACTTCTGTTTGTTGATCTTGTATCCTGCCACTCTCCCATATTCCTCTATTGCTGTCAGTATGCCTGTTGTGGAGCTTTTGGGATTTTCAATGTATAGAATCATACATGTGATTAGCAATAGTTTTACCTCCTTCTCTCCCAGTCGGATGGATACCTTTAATGTCCTTCCGCTGCCATATGTTGTTGGCTAGGACCTCTAGTATGATGTTGAATAGAAGTGGAGACAAGGGGCATCCTTGTCTGGTCCCCTTTTTCAGTGAGATTGTTTTCATCTTATCTCCCTTGACTATAATGTTGGCTGTTGGCTTTTCATAGCTACCTTGTATTAACTTGAGGAATTTTCCTTCCATTCCTGTATTAGTCTGGGTACTTTGGAGAAACAAATCCACAGCAACTCATGGATAAGAGGGAGTTTTATGTAAAGAAAATGTGCATCACGAAAACATCCCAACCCAATGCTGCCCAAGCCCACAAGTCCAACATTAACCCATTAACCCAACACCAGTCCACAAAGTCCTCCACCTCACAAAACAGAGGCAATGATGCCGACTGCAGGAGGAAAGCTGAGTCAGTGAACGAATAAGCATCTCAGCACTAGCAGGGGTCTCCACACGGCTGCTCCAGCACCCAGGGCTGCATCGGGATAGATTCATGTGGCTTCTCCTTGGGGATGTCTTTTAGGAAGTCAATCTTGCAAGCTGAAGCAGGGAACTGCTAGGGCAGCTGCACCCTGGTGCGACCATCACAAAGCAAGAGACCCGAGAACTAGAAAGGTGAGGCTCACCACCCATTTATCCCTCCGCCTTTCAATTAGCCCCACATGTGATTATCGGCCAGGTTGGCACAATTAACTAACTCAATTCCTATCTTCTTGAGTGTCTCAATTAGGAATGAGTGTTGCATATTGTCAAATGCTTTTTCTGTATCTATCAATATTATGTGATATTTATCTCTTTTTAAATCAATGTGGTGAATAATGTTGATGGATTTTTGGACATTAAACCATCCATTCATCTCTTTGAATGAATCACACCTGATCATGATGGATGCTATGTTTTATATACTTTGTTTTCTATTGGCCAATATTTTGTTAAGGATTTTTTCATCTATGTTCATTAGAGAAATCATTCCTGTGGGATTCTTGCCCTATTTGGGTATCAAAGTTATACTGGCTTCACAGAATAAGTTTGGGAGTTTGCCACCTTTTTCTATGCTCTGGAATAATTTGTGGAGGATTAATGTCCGCCCTTCCCTGAATGATGGGTAGACTTCTCCTGTGAAGTCGTCTGAGTTATTTCTATATCCACCTGAAGAAGCTGCCTTGTTTGTCAATTGCTGCTTCACCCAAGGTTGGTCTGGTTCCCTTTCTGTCTCTACTGAAATATATGATGATCTTTATAACCTGTTGCCCCATACTATTGAAATATAGTAGAGTCCTGGGTCTATACTGATGGTCATATGTAGTTCAACTCATTACTGTGTATTCCTATTGTATCAATTCATTTCACTGCTATCAAGTTGATTCTGACTCTTGGTAACCCTCGAGGGCAGAGTAGAATTGCCCCTGTGGGTTTCCAGGATAAGAAAGCCTTATCCTTCTTCTTCAGAGCAGCTGGTGGTTTAGAACTGCTGACCTTGTGGTTAGCAGGCCAGCACATAAATCACTGTGCCACCTGGGCTCCTTATTCTTATTACTATAGCATATCTGTAATATACTTTGTTTGCAGATGATTTATATTACATTTTTAAATTAGGATATCTGGACTGGTCTATAATTGACTAGCAATTTCAAATGTAGATTAAATGGCATAAAGAATTTTAATGATCATTAAAATATTGATGAAATTTAATGTATTACATGCATTTTCAATTAGAACTGGGAGATTAAATGAAACCTGCTCTCTCATGAGCTTACATTCTAGTTGTCATTAAGGAAGAATAATGAAATAAAATGGCTTGGCTGCTTGAATGATTGGATATGTCAAACTGAGGTTGAAGAGGGCTGATTTATACTTATTACTTCATGTAGACAGTGAGGAAATAACCCAGGGACTCTAGCATGTAATCGAAACAGTCACTTGTGTGGTGTTTCCATTCCCTTGTCCCCCATTCTGCCAGAAGTACAAAGTAATTCTTATAACCATGTGTCTATATGTTTATTTAAGAAGGGAGCCTGGGCGGCGTAGTAGGTTATGCCCTGGCCTGCTCATGGTAAGACCAGCAGTTTGAACCCACCAGCTGCTTCTTGAGAGAGAGAGAGGAGGCTTTCTGCTTCTATAAAGATTTACAGCCTCAGAAAATCTTCATGGGGTCACTATGATCCAACAGCAGTTGGCTTGGTTTGCTTTGGTTGCTGTTTAATGTATGTATTTAGTGGCTAAGGGAGCCCTTCTGTAATGATGATCCTCACATTTCTCTTGCTTTCACAGTAATAAACGACCAGTGGCCTTAGTGCCCATGCCCAATGACCCTTCATTCAACACCCGAAGAGCCTATACTAGTGAGGATGAAGCCTGGAAGTCGTATTTGGAGAATCCCCTGACGGCAGCCACCAAGGCGATGATGAGTATCAATGGTGATGAGGATAGTGCTGCAGCGCTTGGCCTGCTGTATGACTACTACAAGGTAGACCCCGCGTCCCCACCCTGTCCCTCTGTCTCCTCCAGGGACACACAGGCTGCCCTTGGCCTGCTGTATGACTACTACAAGGTAGACCCCG